ACTATTGAGAAATTATAGCAATAAAAACTGCTTTATGGCAGTTTTCTAAAAAAAGTTATTGTGTTCTAGTCCATGGACCCCGTCTAAAAAGTAAGAAATTAACGAAATGTGATAGCCGAAAATTAAAATTTCACACAAAACCTCACAATAATCACGACACTTGAAGATCTAATAGTACGGCTTTCAACACTTGTTTATTCCGACACTTGTACTTGTACAAGTACATGTACTGCGCCAACATGCTTGCATGTGAAAGAGGACCACGAGGGGAAAAGGTTGTCGCGTGTGTGATTATTGTGAGGTTTTGTGTGAAATTTTAATTTTCGGCTATCACATTTCGTTAATTTCTTACTTTTTAGACGGGGTCCATGGACTAGAACACAATAACTTTTTTTAGAAAACTGCCATAAAGCAGTTTTTATTGCTATAATTTCTTTTGTTTTTTGGCTAAAGGATATTACCGGTATTATTTTTATTTTATTTATTTTACTAGGGTGTTTCCCACAGACCTATGGTCTTCTTACGGGAGCCCCTAGAAAGGTTAAGCATGAACAAACAAATGGGCGATAATCTGTACAAGAGCGAACAGTGGAAGGCAGCATATTCCACCGATCAGAACCTATAATTGTGTCATCAATGGAATGCCCTAAATGATGGCCTACATGTAGCGACTCTACATGTTATTATTATTATTTTATTTTACTAGGGTGTTTCGCACAGAGCTATGGTCTTCTTACGGGAGCCCCTATGGCTATGTACATGTACGTGTATCATATCAATTTCAATACCGTATTATACGCATTGATGTGCAAGCCTTTTCTTGCAGAAAATGGAACTAGTCTTGCATACATGTATTCATGTTCTTCTGCAGGGGAATCATATGAGTAGTGGCGGTGATACTTTTTTTTATACGCAGGTCATTCTGTGGATGTTGCAGAATTTCATGACTCATCATGACTCATAAAATTGTCTTGTCTTTCAGAAAATTCAGATGTCCACACCCTAATTCCCCTAAATCACATTTACATGAGAATTGTAACCAGGTGCGCGCCGCAGATGTTTTTGTTGATTCTGTGTTTATAATTGTAGTCATGGGTTGTCGTGATAAGGTCATCCGGCATCATATTGTAATGAAATCGTAATCCTGTTGATGTCGGTAAAACTTTTGGAAGCAGTTCAATGATTTCAAAGTGTTACAAGTCCACGATTATCTAAAACAACACAGCAAAGTAGGAACAATAAACATGTATTAAAATGTTAACAAATACATTGCTGAGTCCGACACCTCGTTCCAACAACTACACTGATCCCGAGGATATAAGGGGCAAGGATATATGGTTGGAGGTACTGAGAGATAAACAAGGCACTCCATAATAATAACATGTTACACGACTTTGGGGGAGTATGAATGATATCCAGTCAAACCTCTTTAGGACGAACATCAAGGGACCGATGGCATTTGCTCTGTGAGTTTGTCTTAACCCTATTTTTATAACGAGTGAATACAATTATTTCTCCAATACTGCAATAGAGACACGAATAGATTTCTTCTACAGCGAAAGATTCTAAGCCAGACCAAACCATTGACTCGTCTTTTATGAAACAAATGAGTCACTGAACCTTTCTTTGGCAACATGACGGCAACTGAAACAACAACAGAGAAAATACGATACATGTACAGCACATTCTTGCAGGTACAACAAACAGATTGCAGATCGTAATTCTTGCTCTACCGGCACGCAACTTTACTTGGGGCAGTGCAATCTCGGCGGTACTCACAAATCAAACAGCCCAGACTCCAGTAAACAAATCCAATCGTACGAGATTTTCACGAGACTGCACCCATTGGCTTGTTTCGTATGAAGCAAACAAGTCACTGAATGCATGAACCTCTCCATAATGGAGATTTTCCCTGATATGCGAATTTATTTTGCATACTAGTAGTCGGTCAATGCGTCCTTGAACCTTCGCCTCCAGATTGGGAACTGCCAACGATGCTATGCCACTGGAAACACCCTAGTAAAATAAATAAAATAATAATAATAATAATAATAACTGCAAAATTCAGATTCTACCCCATGATCGGAGCACGGAATGCCGGAAGCAATCATGACCAGTGCCTTACTTGTAACGTACCAATGTACAATGAACATGAGTATTTCGACAACACATCTAAGCCTTACCGTCAAGAAGGTGAACTCGCGTTCTTCGCACACTGTTGGCAAGGGCAAAGAGATACGAATGGATCTATTAAATCCGAATAAAATCAGCACACGTTTCCGTAAATGAAAGGGTGAGCATAAGCAAATGAATCGAAGGAAACTGGTCAACTCAGAGATCACCTGTCATTGAGTATTCCGTAAAAGGAAGCCTCGACAGCAGAAAAGCTAAATTTAGAAAAGAGATCCTGTCAGCTTTTCCATTATTATTTTATTGTATTCCACCTAAAATCAGCACACTTTTCGACGAAAGAAATGAAAGAGTCAACACAAGCAAATGAATCAAAGGGAACTGGTCAACTCACCTGTCATTGAGTAATATTCCGTGAAAAGAGGTCTCAGCAGAGCCGAAGCGAAATAAGCCAGGACACGAAATATCCGAAACAGCTCATGCAAGAAGCAGTTCCAAAGAAGGAAGTTCCTCGCGCATGCACATCCGAAAACGGACTGCACGGCATGCAACACAATGTCTGCCGTGCACTGCACAGCACGCGGCTACCACCCGTTGGTAGATCTAATACCGAGCACCTTACGTAGAAACTTACGTAGCCTAAGTGAAGTACCGAGCACCTTACGTAGAAACTTACGTAGCATAGCGGTGTCGTTTTTTCTGCCATGTGAACACAATAATAGAAAAGCTGACAGGATCGCTTTTCTAAATGAAAGCAACCATTGATGGTCTCGTGGCGGAAGGCGGGAGTCCAAACCTGATTGCACAATCTACAACCCCGAGTACAACGTACAGTAGTGTAGCTAGTTCAGGTAGTACAGGGGCTGGGGTGAGGGAAATCTGATATCCGCGAGTTGCACACTCTTGTTTATGTACTCTTGATATTATGTATCAGATTGCAACGACCAGGAGGCCCAAAGTAGTGGCTGCAAATGACCGATATCCGTCACTTGCAGCTCTGCATCAGAGACCTGTAGCTGGCCTGAAGAGTTGTAAAATTACTCCTTCGTAGCCGGGCGAGTCAGAGCGAGGGCGATTCACGGCTTGGTCAAAAAACTGTCGGCCTGGAACGTAAACGTCGATCTGCTGACACAGTTCACCTGGTTCACACGCCTGACCTGGCATCCTGCCTTGCGTGAAAGGAACATTTTTCCGAAAGCAAGCTTCTTCTCCAAAATTCGAAATTTCATTCCAAAAATGCCGTCGTCCTTGACCTCGAAGCTGAATGTTGTTAGGATACTAGTAGAAAATTAGCGAAGATGTAGCCGACCCATTCTGGCAAGCCGTGTGCCCTCTGGATATGCAGTTGTTCGCCATGGTCAACAATCTTCTTCTCCTTCGTTCGTACTTTCACTTTCCTGACCACGAATACAAGCGGTACCCATGCTCA